GCTACACGCATTTGCTTTTACATTTGGACGTTAAGGGGGCTGAATTATGTTTTTAACATGGTTTGTGTAATTTAAAAGAAAAATTAACACCGTAATGCCATGTAATTGACAGGTCTTCTTTAAAGCTTAGGGCCGAGTGTTTTACTGAAAGAAAAACATGGCAGGAAATTTCTGCGCTCATATTTTAAAACGAAAAGGTCTGGGTCGGCTCTGTTATTGTTGGAAGGAGCCTGGGGTTTTCTGAAGGAGGCCGAGGGTTTAGTTAAACGGTCCGGGACGTGCGAGGAGCTGAGTGGCAGTGTGCGGAGAGCGAGGTGATGCAGCCGCGGAGACTGGAATCCCAGCAGCGCCAGTGAACTGGTCAACTGGGATGGCTCACTTCCTCTCCAGCCGGGGTCGTGGGCTCCACAGTGGGAGAGACGTGGGACACAGGCCAAACTATCATGGCACCAGCAGATGTTCAGATAGGTAGCCGTCAGCGTACATGGGCTGCAGAGGATCGGGGTAAAGGTTTGTTCCACGCAGAAAGGAAAAGGAGAGACGTAATGTTTGGGCTGTGGAGCCTGCTTCGTGTGTGGGTCAGTTTTGTAGCATGTTCTGCCATTTCCACCGCAAGGGAAGGGGGGGGAAGTCTGCCTTGCGCTGGGAGAGCTTTTGCCAACATGGTTTCAACATCAGGGTACCGAAATATTGGCACAGAAAGAGCCCCTTTATCTGTCTGCATTGAGGTCCTAATAATTAGGACAGTGAGCGTAGGACCACAATTAATTCTTGCCCATTTGGGGGTGTCATGGCCATGTGTCATATGTTACCTGTGGTTCCATCTTCCAGTTGACCATGACACAGTGTTTAAATTGGTACAGGCCAGGCCCTCAGGTTCTGGTGTCCTGAATGGCACTTTGGGATTTTACCCATGCAAGTCCTATGCCTGCACTTGGTGATTAAAAGCAAATGATATCCGTTCTCCCTAATAAATGTCTTTATGCAATTAGTCTTAGAAAGGTAGATTAACTGATGAAGGTGGCAAAACTAAGGCAAAAGTATTATTTAAAAAAATGGATGCAGGAAGTCTGTAACCTTATTATACTTGCCTTGTATCTCTGATATTTTTTTCCTTAAACATAAATTATTTCCATTGCATTAAAGGTATTTTTTATCACGATTTCCTGTGATAAGCATGTAAGGATTTGTAATCTAAAGTGCTTTTATCCTTGTCCAGGTTTCTAGTGCTATTTTCTGAGCTGGGTTAGGGTGCGTGCTGGAGTTATTTTGCAAGGCTGCTGTGTTTGTGCCTGAAAGCAAAGTACAGTTGTTAGGTTACCCACAGCCAGAACTTCACGCATGCATGAGGTAAGAGAAGAGATGTACGTTGCAGTGCTTGTAGTTAGTGTGTCCATGTGGACATACTCTGTATTCTCCCTCTGAAGCATCTTCAAACACAAGGAAAGGGTCACTACTGTGGCTTTGTCCATATCTAGATCAGAATTTCCTAGTATTACCCCTATTGTGTGAGTCCAAACTGCAGTCTGGGATTGAGTGATCTGGTCTCTGTAAAGTTCTCCCTTAATTCACCTGGCAGACCAGTCTCTCACTCCTCCCCTGAGCTGCTGTGCAGGTGGGTCTGCTGTGTAGCACCAAGTAGACCAGAGTGAATTTCATATACATGAAATGTGCCTGGCGATTATGATTCTGTAGTTCAGTGATGGGTGAGATGGGTCTCCTCCTCTATGTGAAATGCTTTGTGGTCCTTTGAGTTGAAAAGTATTGTATAAATGCAAAGAATTATTTAAATAATATTGTGACTGATATTGATTATGGGATTAAGGAAGTGCTTTAATCTTATTCAACTTGTGAACATCCAGGCTCGTCTCGGACAGTCATGATGTAAAATATTAAAACCGCAGGTTGAGTGACTTTTTGAGCTGGGGGTGCTATGGTGCAGACCCAGGCTGAGGCACAAGACTCAGGCAAGGAAGGTACACGAGGAGAGAACTGAACTTTTGAGAGTCTCTCAGAGCATCACCTTTGTAAACGTACGTCTTACTCCCTTGGCTTCACAGTTTCCCCATCGGAAGAATTCGGTTTTGTTCTGCAAATAAAAAAAGCCAGAGAAACTGGGGCCTCCTGCTTTGCTGGCTAGAGCTGCTCCCTGATCTCTGACCCGGCTGCCACGTCACGCAGAGGCCTTCTGATTGATGCTAGTTTTCTGTAGCAGGCACGTTACCGACGGCTTCTCCAAATAGCTTTCGGCTGATTTATGGCAACCCACGGCTACTGTTAAATGGGAAATGCTAAAGGTTTTTTTGACCAAAATGTTTCATACATGCAGTATTAATCACTGTCAGCTTGAAAACCAGGAGCCCGGTACAGCATTAACAACAGGCCGTTAGAGAGGTCTCCTGTCCAAAGCGTGGACTCTGTGCCTTGGTGCTGATTCTCGCTGTCATGCTTGACCTTCGAAGTGAACTTTCCGTGTGATGTGGTTTGAGGAATGAGGCAAGCACGGGAGAATACATGGGGGTGTCAGCCCGATACTAACAAGGACAGGAGCCTTGGGTAAAAAAAGATGGATCTACTGTCGATGAAAGTAATAAGCAGCATAAACAAGAAAATCAGGAGCTCCTTCCCCTTTTGCTAGATTGATAAAGAGCTAAAATAGCTAGCGCAGCTGGATCAGTAATTACACTGAAAATGAGTTTGATGTATTGTTTTTCCTCTGCAAGCATAAGCATGAAGAAAGAGGCCAGGGATGAAAGTGCACAGGGACTGGGAGAGGTAGAGGAAGGTGGTTAGAGAAAAACCCGGTCTGCGTCTGCGTCTGCGTCTGCGTCTGCGTCTGCGTCTGCGTCTGCGTCTGCGTCTGCGTCTGCGTGCCCTTAGCAGGGCTGCCATGAGGAGAGGCAGGGGTGAGCCCAGCTGTGTCAGATCTGCGCAGAGGGCAGCTGTGAAGGAACAGGTAGGCTCTTGCTGTCTTTTATCTCATGCTGTTGCTTTATTGAGGCCCGAGAGCCGGCCTGGCTTCTTTGGACAGCCCTGAAATTGAGACAATTTGCCTGCGGGAAAGGCAATCCATTAGTCCCAGATTCCCCAGAGGTCTGGTCCCCACGTAGAAATCGATTTGAGTTCGATGGGGGCTCTTCTTTCCGCTGTCTGTGTTGTCCGGCTCAGGTAACTCAGAAAGCAAGGAGAGGGTTTGAAAGACCACATGGCCCTTGTGATCAGCTGCCATCCTCTTATCTCCTCATGTTACATCTGCAAGCCTTCTTTTGAAGTAACCAGTTCAATGCTTTTCCAAAGTGGTGTTGAAAAGCAAAATTAAGTTCACTCACACTCTTTGATTCCATACTTTTAACGGTTCATTTCAAAATCTCACCTCCTTATTTGTAAACTCCTCTGTAATGCAGTGCTTGGAATGTGTGCTTCGCATTGTGCCTCGGTTCTAGTCAAATTCTTCTCTGGCAAAAAGCTTTGTGGTCCTGAGGATCCTCCTTATGGATGGTGAATTCTGTTTTTCCTAGATTTTTGCTGTGGTTTCAACATTACTATGCTGTACCGTGGTAATACCATGATATGCACCAAGAGATGTTGCTAAGGAATGTTGACTATTGGTGAAGACGTGTGAAACCCCTTTGAAGCTCTGACAAAAAGTACAGTAAATCCCCAGTGAAATACAGTACACGAGGGTGGCGAGGGTGCCAGGATGAGGCTGCTTTGTCTGTGGGTCTTGAATTTCTGCCGATGGCGCTTCAGGAAGTTGCCAGCTGATCTCTCGCTGCTCTGGGCTACAGTGAACCACACTCTCCTCCCTTTGTGAAGCACAGCTGAAACTGCATGACTGACCCCACAGCATGGTCCAGGCTTCCCTGAACCTGTTGAGTGCAATGAATCACTTCTCTGAAAATAAGAGCTAGTGTTTCCCTGGAGGGGTGAGGGCATTAAGAGTGGGATTTATTCAAAGCAGGCAGAGCTGCACTAGGAAGCATAATGCTCTGTCCCATTTAGCAAATGCAGCAGTTTCAAGTAGCACAGTACTTTAACTGCCTTTTTTCAAGTGGTTCCCATGGAGAAAAAAATATTTGATTTTAGTATGAATTTAGTATCTGTTCTGTGTGGTTGTTAGGATTAGCTCTGGCCTGACGCACCGATGGGTCTCGGGTATGGAAATTGCCTGTGTGTGGTTGTATTGGAGTCTGATGTCATAATTGGGTTCTTCTCCATGTGAATTTAATCACAGATGTTAATCTGCCATCATCAGACTTCTACCTAAAGCATCTCATGCACTGACAGCTGATCCGTCTCCACAGCTGCTGCTGTGAAGTCTCATACGGAAGGCTGTTTTTTCCTCTTATTTGAAGATAGGACCGTGACTGACATGAGGTGATACCCTGTCGGTGGAAGAGCCAGTCTCTTTGAAAGGGGCACCTCCTGGTAACTTGCCCTGTGCATTGGGTCACAGGTGTAGGGGGCTCTCCTATTACTTAGAAGACAATTATCATCAGCTGCCATTCACTTGTTTTTTTTTTTTGCTCTTCCTTCCTTTTCACAGGATTTTGCTTCAGCCTCTGTACTTATAGGGAAGCGTTTTAGCCCTTAAATTCTGGTGTTTACAAGCTGCTGTTCTTTTATAAGCCTGCAGTCCGGTTACTTCATTGTGAATATATTTGCATACCTAGACGTGTGAAGTTCAAACATAATCTTAAATAAACTGGCTTTGCTGTTTCTTCTGTGGCTGTGAGACAGTTTAAGAGCTGCGCATTGTAAAACGTAAAATGAATCAAACTGCTGTGCTGTCTTGACTATCTCCCTGAATTGCTTCAATATATACAGATATTACAATATTGTACAGAAAGCTGCAGATTTATCAAATGTGTATGTTTAGGTAGTGTTGCATTGCATGTGACCTTTTGAAACCCAATGGCTACACTTATCAATGCTATAATAATGGGAATATATTAGCTATTTGGTTTGCTGTTTACATTTCTTACCCTCATCATCATCATAATATCAGAAATTGCGGTAATTATATTAATTGTCACACATGTTTTCAGTGTGTTTCTCCTGTCTGAAATGTAGTATTTTGATAAGAGTACAAGGAAACCTGGGCCAATTTCTTCCAGTGTGCAGTTTAATCCAATTAAGTAATAAGTTATAAATGTTCTGCTTTTCTCACTTGAAAGAGTACAGCAGCATGGCAGAGAATTGTTTCCAGAGATAGTGTTTGATTTTGCTGTAATTAATGTGGAGGGGAGCCCTTGTTTGGGGCTGTTTGCAATCTCAGTTGAGCAGAGCTAAACAGTCTTAATCCCTCAAACTTGAGGTCATTGCTCATTGCGGGGTTTTATGCAATGTAGCAGGTGGTCCGATTCTGCTTTGGCATGTTATTAAAGATCAACCGAACAACAGGAATTCTTGGTTCCTCGGTTTGAGCCAAATTCAATTTTTTTTCGCCAATAGTCATTCATTTCCTACAGTTTTTTTCTTTTATACTTTACATGTATGTTTTGTACTTCATATGTGGGTGCGTGACTACAACCACCACTGCTGTCAAGGAATGTATCACTATCTATGGTTGTAGTTGCATCTCTTACGTCTAGGTTAAGATGGCAATGCACAGAAACCACATAATAACACAGCCATGAGACAGCTCCATTATGAAAACAAAAGATGTGGTTATTATCACGAACAATACAGAGGCCATGAAAATGGTTCAGCATGTTTGTCATGTGATGTTCTATTAAACTTTACCTTGGGAAAAAATACATCAGACTTGACTGTCAGTAGTTAGTTGCCCGCAGGAAACAGTATGCAATATAGCGTGATACAATCCTCTACTTTTATGGGGTTGCACACAGATCACTGTCTGTGTTTCATGGGCATGGAGAGCAATATGTGGTTGCTCAGATTTTTAATATGACAGTTGGGACAGTAATATAAAGATAGAAGTGCACAGTGCAACAGTATTTCACAACAAATTGCAAACCCCATGAGTAAGACGCATACAAGCACTGCGTTTTATGCATAGAAAGAAGATTTAAAACAAAGAAAATTAACTTCTATACTATATTCTGTATCTTATATTCTATGGTTCTATATTTTATTCTATAAAATATATGTGACATTTGTGTGCTACAGCTCTTGCTTTCCAGATGGCACCCTGGGTGCCTGTTTTCCTTCAGTAAATGGTCCCTGTTTGTTATTGTATTACTCGTAGGCTGAGCTGCTCCTGCAGGGTGTCTTTACATCAGTGCGCCCCCACCTTCAGCCTTGCGAAGGACGGTATGTAGAAATTGGCAGGTATTAACTTTTTGCAAGTCCTCTGTGGCGGCAGTTCCATATTTGTTCATGTTTATGCGCTGAGTGACAGCCCGCTCTGTGTAACGTCTGCTCTGCGTCTTCTCCGAAGCGGAGCTGCGCACGGACTTGTGGGGCAGCTCTGCTGGTGACGCGAGGCGCACGAGGCTGCTGTCCATGTTCACGCCGAGTTTACATACTGAGGCCGGAGCTGCGTGTTCTCTGCCCCGTCAGAAGGATCGCCGTGCGTGCTGCTCCCAGCTGTCTCGTCTCCGTTCGCCTGAACCCGGCTCCTGCCCTGCCTCCACACCTCCCCGGGACTGAACCCTTTGACCGCATGAGGTCATCAGAAAGGACTGGAAATTCCAACCAAGCTGCAAATACGCAGCACAGGGAGACGAGCAGCCAGGATGATGGTGCAGGTGGTGTTTGGCATGCTTGGAGGTGATGGAGAGGGCGGTACTGTCAGTGCTTACAGTTATTTTCAGGCACCATTAGCCAAAATATACGGGACACCAGTAGGCTAGAACGTGCAGTAGAGCACTCTGGGAACGCAGTGTTGTACAGAGATGTCTGCCACTGCCTAGTTGTAACGAGGTTGTATCTCCTTTGCTGAAAGGTCCACTATTGCACAATAAGCATTTCCTTTGCAGTGTTTTTCCTTTTCATTTCGCGTGTGGGTTCGGTTTCAGCGCTGTTATTATTCCCCATTCTCGGCTGTGGGATGCCAAGGCGATGAAGTGTGCCAAAGCCCTCCATCAAGACACCTTTAATACGTCTTGATGGATCCTGCCTCAAGCAAGGTCCCAGCTCAGTCTGCTTTTTAATTAGCTCAATGTGCCGTTTCTTCTTCCAGCAGTCAGGAAGGATTACCCTGATCCTGCGCGCCGTGGCAGGTAGAGTGCTATGGCTTTATTAAGCGGAGCTGTGCTGCTGTTTGCATGTTTAAAGAGACGAGACGCAGGGAGTGATGGAATTGAAGAAGGGGAGGCGAGGTGGGGGGTGGGGTGGGGTAGAGGGAAGAAATCGTCTCTTTTTTTTTCGGGAGAGCGCCCGGCATGCCTCTCCGTCCCACTACGCGCACGCCAGCCCGTGTCCCCCGCCGCGCAGAGCTGCAGATTTCCCGATAGGAAGGCTGTGGGATTGCAGATGAAAAGAAGACTGTTCAGAGGCAGCTGCGGGTGCGATAAGGCAACTCCAGGGTGCAGAAAATACAGTGCTTCAGTGAAAAAAAAATCAACCTTTATAAACCCATAGAAAAAAAACAGCCCAGTGGGGGGATGGTTCCATGTAACTAAAAGATGGGTGACATTTAAAAGAATTGAATTCACCCACGTGAAGGTTCATCACCATGAATCTGCCTTTTTTGCTGTTTTCTCACAGCTGACACCGTGCATTAAGTTTACTTTGCCATTGTTTCCTGCAGGTTGTACAGTGATATCTCTGTGCAACACCAAACTGGTTTGTATCAGGCTGTTTGCTACAGCATGGCTTCTTCAGTTCTCCAGTCCAAACTGAGAGTGCAACTCTTAATGCTGGCCTCTCGTGTTGTCTGTTTTTTTCTTAGAAGCATGTTGAAGGTTTCGAGATAATAAATTATGATTTTAACAGAGCATTCAGTGTTTATCCTAAGGCTTGTGTGCTTTTGTAAGAAAAAGAATATAA